GGCTATCCTTAACACATCTATTATCACCATACCTTCGGAAGCAAGTTCATGACTTTCCAATGCTGAATTTAAAAATACTGTGATTGTTTTGTAAAAATTGTGCTTGTGAGAAGTAAAGTTTACTCAAAACAATAAGTGCAATGTTCTAAAGTTCAGCAAGTACATGGAAAAATCAAGAACATGCTTCTCTGGGTGCATATTCACCGCTTAACACTTTTCATCATTGCCGTTCACTGCAGTTGGAAAAGATAGAATAGGTTCACAAAACTAGAAATGTTATCGCCGCTTAGTTTTTGTGAAGCTTGTACCGGTTGGTTTACAGCAGAGGAAGACAGGTGTTTTTGTACTCTCTTCTAGACCGAGGAAGTTGGCAAACCCGCAACAATGTGATTTCCACCCTGAAACACCCGGTACATGATGTATTTCAGTTTTACAGCATGTACCGGGTGTTTCAGGGTGGAAATCACATTGTTGCGGGTTTGCCAACTTCCTCGGTCTAGAAGAGAGTACAAAAACACCTGTCTTCGTCTGCTCTAAACCAACCGGTACAAGCTTCACAAAAACTAAGCGGCGATAACATCTCTAGTTTTGTAAACCTATTCTATCTTTTCCAACTGCAGTGAACGGTCATGATGGAAAGTGCTACAGGCTCTTAATCCTTTACTCTACGCCCCACCCCCTTTTTCGACACCGAATAATCCCTCACTAACTCTCTTTCTCACTCTGTTTCCTCTCTCCCACTCTCTCCCTCTCTCTCTTGTCGGCCAGTGCATCCAATCATGCGGGGTAAATAAATCGCGCCCTTACAGCAAAAGTGTGATTGGGGCCCCAACCGGCCCACAGCGAATCAAAATAAAACACGTGAGGGTCGGTCTGATAAGCCGACACTTTCGGTGGCTGTGAAATAAAAAAGAATGAAAAAGGGACAGAAAAAATACGTCGAAAAGGGTTGAGTGCAATAAATGCGCATGGTATCGTTACCCGTACAACACCTCGCACGGTCCGGCTATTTGATGTTGTCTCGTTCGACATTCTAACATGACCACGGGTTGAGTAGGGCACGAGTCTCACTAAACTTGTCGTTTTAAGTGAATATATATTTAACATCCACCGTGCTATAGTCCATCACCTAAGCTTACGTAACAAACAGTTCTTTAAAAATTCAGGTATAATTGGTATGAAATAAATTTTTTCTGTTTTTTTTTTTTTTACTATGCACAAGTATCATTGTAAAAACTATATGGACCACATGCTGTGAAAAATTGTATCTGATAAGCTGGACTGGCAAGCACTGGCAAGCACTGGCAAGCACTTGTAAGCACTTGCAAGCACTTGTAAGCACTTGTAAGGCAAGCACTTGTAAGCACTTGGAAGCACTTGCAAGCACTTGGAAGCACTTGGAAGCACTTGCAAGCGTTCGGTACCACATTTCATCCCTCCGCATGATTGACTGGAAGTTTAACAACTTGCTCGAGTTATGGACAGACAAGCGAAAGCTGGATACTTAATCATGCAACTATCACAGATTTTGAAGAACTTTAAACGGACTTGAATTGAAAGTGACGAACTTTCCAGCCCAAAACTTTGCACGTCCAAAAGTTTTCAGTCGGTTTTAAACAATTGCAAAACCTCATCAGTTTGTAAACTTTGACAAGAGAGCGTATACAATATAATAAGGTTTCGAAGTCTCGCTCCACTTGATGCCCGCAGCTCTCACTTGCCATTTAGAAAACCCGCGCCTCTTTTGCCTCGCCATTTGTTTTCTGAATCTGTCGATAATCCCCGCGGCAGTCCATCGGCTGTCTCGTTCGCTCCCGCACCCAACGCCTATCGCCTGTCTCGTTCGCCTCTGCTCCCGGAGCCCATTAGCCCCCCTTCTCTCTCACTCGCTCCTGCTCCCAGACCCCGCGCTCCAAGCGCCCCGACCAGCCATAGACAATGCCGCGATTGGACTACCAAATAATAATGATTTCCGAGGCAAATCGTGACAGCGCGGGGATTATGATTTTAAGCGGGGCTGCAGCGGCAGCGGTGGCGTGCGAGATGGAGTCGCAGCGATTGGACCAAGTCGCAGCCAAAACATTTTGATATATCGTCATTGATATGCGCCCCGCAACAGCAGCAGCAGCGGGGGCCACCCCTAGAGACCTTCTGCGCCGTCCGCTACATACTTGCGCCGATCGCATTGCTTATTCCTTTTGATTAGAATCCAGCCACGCGACACAGAGAGGGGCAGAAAAGCAATAAAATGGCGAGAATTATGGCAGAGCAACGGTATTGGTTACGGGAAAGATGAAGGGCGTTTCGGGAGTGGGTACAGGGGTGAGGGGGACAAGCTATGTCCCATGTTACAGCACAATTTCCGAGATTCTGGTTATACTGACGACTCGCCGAATACAAGTTCCGACTTGACGAAAACAATCAGAACTATGCTAAAAGAAATAGTTTCAAGTTTTAACCGCATAAAACTGAGAGAGTAGGCGACCCGGCCGTACGCGAAGCCGCGTAGCCGCACAGTCTGCGTACGGGGGTAAAGGGAGACAATTCTGCCAAATTGGTACAGAAAAAAATTAGTTAAGCCTTCTTAAACTAGCATCAGCCCTCGAGCGAAAAGCCTTTCTTAGTTATCCTCATCAGCGAACTAGGCCATGAAATCTCCATGAAATGGCAGCCGCAGGCAGGCAGGCGGACACACTCCGTCGATAAAGAATGGCGAAGCGCGCAGGGGCCCTCCAATTTGAATACGCTAGGCGCCGCACTGGAGGGGTGCCGGGCGCGCGGGGCGAAGGGGGAGGGTAGGGGGAGGCGAGCGACCAATCCGCGGCCAAGGCCCGCGACCGAGGTCCCCTCCAGCCGGCGGCAGGCCCCGCGCGCGCGCTTGAGCCAAGCCGGTGCGAGAGAGAGCGGGGGAGCGAGGGCGAACGAGGGCTCCGCGCAACCCTCTCCTGCGATCGAAAAAGCTCCCGGGCGCCCCGGCCGCGGCGGCACCCACCCCAAACGCCACCCCACGCCGCGCGGAGCCCGCCCCGCACCAGCCAATGAGAAAAATGCGCCTAGAGAGAGGAGAGGTGCCTCCTCCCAATCCGGGGCCGCGGAGCAGCAGGCGGCCCGCGCCCCCCCACCCGCGGACCTAAGCGCACCCAGGCGCCCACCCTCGCTCTGAACCGCAGAGGGGCAGAGGGAGGAAAGACACGACGGGCCGCATAAAATATATGAGTATCATCCCCTAAGACCCAGCCGGGTGTGACGAGGAAAAGCACGTCATTTCGCTCAGTGTGTGTGTGTGTGATAGAGAGCGTGCCTGTGTGTGTGTCGCGAAAGAGCGCAGAATGGATCGAAATGCTATCGCGGCCGGAAAGCCCCGCCGCCTCTGCCACCACCACCGCCCTCTCGGAACAAAAGAGGTCTCGCACCATGATTCGATTTTATTGGAAGCGAAGTCAATTCATCACCGGGGCACAAGCTTATCTCTCTCTCTCTCTCTCTCTCTCTCTCTCTCTCTCTCTCTCTCTCTCTTTGTCCCTCCCGCAAGCGCAGTGCGAGCGAGACAAGGAGCGGAGCGGCGGTTGTGTTTCAAAAAGCACACTAACGTTTACCTCTTCACCACAACACACTCCTAATACTAACGCACTTATACGGAGTATAATTACTGTACTGTCGGTTTGAAAGAACAAGGTGTTAAGAGAATCATTTACGAAGGAACAGAGTCGTGGTGGAACCTGATAGCTCTTTATTGTCATTGCCTGTGGTAGAGCACGGTAGAGCACAACCATGTCGACCCCGTACTCAAAGTCGGTTATGCTTTACTTCCAAAACCTGCATTTTTGATTGGGAGGGCTTTGCGCGCAATATGAAAACCTATGTGCTTCAATGTATCACACACAAAATTGTCCTTCCCTGTCTCGAGTGTTGCACGTGTGTGGAATTTCAACTCTTCAGTGGAAAGTACAAATTTGCGAAATTTCAAGGAAAATTCACATTTTTACTTGCTTAAGTGCACGAATGAGAATTGACGAACCTATGGTGTATTCACACACCTTCGGTGTGTATACTGAACTATTCGCAACTGAGAGACTCTTACACTTTTATGTAAACGATTGTGACTCGTGAAACATTTGTTTTTAAAAAGTGACACTACAATGCCACAACGGAACATAAGGACATAGGTACGCCACCCTCTAAACCCGTGGAAACAAAACAAGCCATGGGGACCTAGTACGTCATAGCGTGCACGCACCCAGCAAAGCCTATTCTTGACAAAAGATCAGGCTTGGCTGATTCCAAAATTCACTTTGAACCAAGTAAATAAAGTGTTGTGATAGGTAAATTTTCCACCATGCCACCAGGCTTCAAAGGTTTGAGCGCTTTTTGCGCCACGACCACGTTTACTTCGGTGAATATGACATGATATTCTAAGCAAATGGGACAGGTCACACTGGATTGAGTGATACGCAGTGTTACGTCAGTGTGTTTAAATGTGTTGTGAATAAAGCGGGTGCCCTTATTGGTGTAGCTCGTATAATAGGCCAAAAGTACCACTGCTAATTTTTCAGTGCAGATATACTTCTACGACGTTCTAGTTCTAGAACAACAGTTACAGCCTTATTTTATTACAATCGCACGTTCAATACCAGGCTAACGCGGGCTAACGAGCCAAATCCAGCAAAAACTTGCACCTGAAAACGTTAACCCAGACTCAAACTAATATCGACATACGCCAAAAAAAGACAGCTCCACGAAAAAAAACAACAGAATCGACGCCGCAAGCAGCAGGTCCACTCGCTGACCAGGAAGCTAGACTAACCTGTTCCATCCGCGGAAATAGTTGACCAACCTTTTGTTGCCTTGCTCCCTCCAAAGGCCTCGCCTTCCGGTTGACTCTATTTTTTTCGCCAGCCAGTCACACCACCACTGCCATCGCCAGCTCATTCACGACATCGGCCACCGCTTTACCCAACCCTAGCCATTTTTTCAACAATTCCCATTCCTTTACAACTTACCTGTGGCAGAAAGTGGGCCAGGCTCCCGCTTCGATATATCCACGAAATGACGTTGGTCTCGCCGCTGACTATTTTTTTTGCGATGCACCTAGGAGGGGCAGGTTTTTCACCTTCCCCTTCCGCTGCCGCTGCAACTCTTTGCATCGCCAATGAGCATTTGCATGGCGGGCATGGAGGGACAGCACACCTGAAGGCTCAGTAACGGCCCAATCCTCGGAGAGGAAGGATCTTCTGTAGGCAGCAGGAAGAAGCTCCAGCACACCCTTAGAAACGGGAGGGCGCGGTCCCGGGCACGACGGCTACCTGCAACAGTCAACAGCACGGTTAGTTCACCAAACTCATCGCAAGCAGAGAGTAGCCCCTTTCAATTTGCAAAACGAACCAATGTCGTCGATGTGTGCGTATGCGTTGCGTATACGAGTAAGAACAGTTTGTTCTGTAGAAAGAAGAACATTCAACAAGTGACAAATTACGCGTGCACTAAAAACGGCATCAATGTTCAAAGAGGACGTAGTCAAAAAATTACCGAGAACATGCCAGGTGGATGTTATAACTCCGCGCACTTTTGTAGTTGTACCGCATACAGGCGTGCGGGGATTGCCTATCCATCAAGGCTGTAACGCGCCTTTGGTCAGCTACGATTGGCAAACCCTCGGGGATAATCAGCCCCAGGCACAGTTCAAAATGAAATTTGGTGCGAAACTTGCGCGTTATTGGGCTACCGTCAAATTCGTATTGCAAGCACGCAGGGACATGTTGACTTGTAAGTCAAAGAAGCCACATGTAACCATACAGTTTTTCGTTCGAAGTAGCGCAGGGATTTATCTATAAAATTTTGTGAGGTAACAAAATAACTGGCCTATCGTCATAGGAATCAGCAAACGAAACGCGTTACTAGGACTCCTTAAAATAATAAAACAACGCTTTTTTCAGAAAGTCCCCAGAACATGTGAGTTTGAAGATGCCGCATGCAGTGCAAATTTCTAACGTCGGCAAAAAGGGACCTGCTTTACACCAAGAAAAGTAGATACTTGATTTGGGTTCCGGTGCTTGACAAGTTGAGGCCAGGGACTTGGTTTAAGAATATTTTACCTCAAATTGAGTAAAATATTCTCAGAACAAGTACCTGGCCTCAACTGGTCAAGCGCCGGAACTCAAATCAAGTATCTACTTTTCTGGGTGTAGGGCGAGGGTTCTTTGAGCTTTCTAGCCGTGGCAGTCGTGCCGAGTGGAGCCCGTTCATAAGAATGAATAGCAGAAAATCATACACTATCGGCTCAAAACTATCATTTTGTCGCTGTCATGACGCTGGAGTTTCGCTCGTGCCACCGCGCGTGGGAGGACCGCAGCCGGGCCGCAGCAATGGCCGGCGGACGGGGGCTCCGCTGCCCGCCCGGCGCTCGGCCGGGAGGCGGACTCGGCGCCGCCGCACAGTGATGGCCGCCCAGCTGCTGCGAGGCACGCACAGCAGGAAGGAGACTGCCCTGCTGCTCTGGCCGCCCTTTCTTGTGAGATTCTCTCCCGCACTGTACTTCCTGACTAACCTGCACCGACTGCGCCTGTTTTACTACCCGAGTAGTGCGTGCCCGCGACCGGTTGTTGTTTGCGAGCCAATGTGTTTCTCAAGTCGAGATGCGTGACGTGTCAATGCCGCGGCGGCGTGGGCGTTAATGACATGCAAACTGGGTAAACAACCATCGAGCACTACTCTCCTCCACCCCCGCGCGAGACGCACACGTGTGGTTGGCAGGCGGGCAAAAATGGCGAGGAAAACTGGAAACGCAAGTCGAGTGCGTGCTGCTGCGCTGCGAGGATATATAGCAGGCTGCCGAGGGGGCGCGCTCGTCTTAACGTTTCACGCCGGATTACTTGTGGTCGCAACAACTTCACGGTCTCGGCGGCGATACATATATTCCTTATATACCCGGGTATTTTTATTACGCAATTTTCCTGGCGAGTTGTGTGTGTGTACGTACATCACGTTTATTATGTGCGCTGCTCCTTAGAATGAGGCGGATGCAAGGATTTGCATTGCTGATACCACCTCCGCAGCGAGAGGGGTCAGCCCGTCCGTCTCTCGCAACGCACCCTGCGTCGCGCACTATCAACATGCAAATAAAATAGCGATCCCGCGCGTGATTCATGGCTTTGCAATTTGGCTTCCAGGTGGACTGCTCCAGCCGGACTCCAGCCGCCGCCGCCGCCGCCGCCGCCGTCGTCGTCACCGTCCTTTCTGCTCCTGCGTGCGCGAGCTGCTCGCCGCTGCCGGACCCGTCGGATCACCCGGATAAAGGCAACGCGTCCACCGTGCGTGCTGGCCACCGCCGCCGCCGCGCTGGAGGCTCCAGGAGCGGCTCCGGCGGCACGCGTTCACCTGGAGGTAATGTCGCACGGCGTGTAAGTGGCTCCAGAGGAGTTATGGAGATGGATGGTGACGCGCAGCAGGGCCAGTTTGTCTTGTGCGGGACGCCTTAACGTCGGACAAAGTGATGAGTGGTCATCGGGGGTTCGAAATTAACGGCCGACCCCATCGTGAGCAATGGCGGTCAGTGCGATATCATGTTGTCGTGACAAACACATTTTCAGAAAGTTTCTCTGGTTATGCTCTGGGAAAAGGCGAACGTTAGTTGGAGATAAGTGCGGCTTTAACGTGTATTTTTGTACTCTTTCTTATTGTTGAAAGTCACTGCAAGAAGAGAATCACTGCTCATTTGCATCAGGTCATTCCCCCTTCTAGCCTGCAGTGCATTTAGGTCGTCGGCCGCGCCTGAGCTCTGTGAATGATACATGAGTCTGCCACTCCGAACTCCTGAAGGAACGTCAATGCAGTCTACCGCCTCCCTCCATTAATTCCGCGACGGAACCGCAAATCGCTCCGAGTGGCCCGTCACTTTCGCCAGGACGCGCGGGTTCGAGACAGCGCGATGAATCAAAAGTTAGTGAAAAAGAAACCCGTCGGGAAAAGTCGCTTTCATTGCAAAGTGAAGAAATGTGCGCGGATGTCTAAATAGCGTGCATTCAAATAAACTTAAAATAATAATAAAACAATTTCTGGCTTTATTTGGCACGACGACGGACAAGTGATGATCCTGATGGGGGGTTTCGGGCGGGCTATAATCTATATAGCACTTGGAACCATAACGCTGATAGCGCCTGATGGGTTTTGATGGGCACGGCAGGGCACTATTGCGGCATGCACTTAAGCAGTCAGGTGTAATCTCTAAAGGGCCTGCCGCACCGGGTAGAGCTGTGCGAGACGAGCTCCATTCCACCTGGGCCAGGCCATCAGACGGTCGGTTGGCCTCAGCCGGCAGATTGATCATTATACGCCATAAACGCCAATTCTGGGCAAATTTGCCCGATTTCCATGCATTAAAAATAATACTTAGTATTAGTATTCATTGTCAGTTCAAAGATGCAGAGGCGAATGGAAACTTGTAGGAAACATGGTTACTGAGACTGTGCGCGCGGCCTTGGTCGTGTCGAGTGGTTCAGCAGACCACCACCTTATCAAGCACAGCCCTAGGCGTCGTCGCCTGGAGAGCAGTACTGGGGTGGGGCCCCGGCCGGGCCCAGGCCCCCTGGTGCGTCACGGACGACATCACACAGCCGGGAGAGACATTGCCTCGCCCCGCCACGCCCCGCCCCGGCTTGTGGGGGTAGGAGGCCTCCACTCCAGTGCACATAGGCCCCGGGGGCCTCAAGCCGACCCCTCAGGCCCCTTGGCGACCGCAGTGACACCACACTGTGGCACAGCGACTCCGGCATAAATTTTGTCTTGGGCGGGGGGAGGCGTTCCATGCGAGCCTCCCCGGGGACCATTCCCCACTGACTTCCAGCCCTCCCCACCACCCTCCTCCTCCTCAGGCCCCAGGGAAGTACCCCCCAAGGGGCACCCGCATGTGCCTGCGTGTGAGCGGAGCACGGACCTCTCTGTCCAAGGGATAGCTGGAGGACCCTCACAAGGACATCACAGAGAGGGGCGCCGAGCCATGTCCAGCAGGGGCTGGGCCCTCGGCCAGGCCCCTAAGGGGGCACTGCAAGCAAATAATCCTGCCGATCCTGAGAGAATGGCTGAGAGCGAGTGGAGGGGAGTGGGAGGCGCCCCTTATCTACCCATGCATCTCGGCACAACACATGCGACTCGCATGCGACATACCAGGCCGGCAGCGCCAGCGACAATCCCGCGCGTCTTATTGGACGGGGGAGGGGCGAAATTACCTTCAGAGAGGGTCGGTCGAAGTAGGGGAGGTTTGCTTTGCCGTCCCGCTAATGACAACTGTGCAATCCGAGAAGCTTAATCAGCGGGCCTCCTTGCATGCTGACTCACTTCCTGGGTAAAGGGGCGGGGT